TCCTTGCGAGGATGCCTCGGATGCGGACAGAAGTCAGGAAGGATGACCTCTTGGGCCTGGTGGAACCAGGAATTAATTTTAGGCATGAAAGAAGGATCCAGCCGAAGGATCATCCTGTCCTGGTGAATCAAGCACAAGTCCTCACGGACAGACAAGGCAGCCAGCTCAGAGATATGTCTAGCCGAGGTGATGGCAATGAGAAAAACTGTCTTAAAGGTCAGATGTTTCAAGCTGGCTGAACAGAGAAGCTCAAACAGCGTTTTGACCAGAGCCCGCAAAACCACATTAAGGTCCCAAGTCGTATCTGTGAACCATCGGGGGACTCAGGTTAGTCGCTCCCCTGAGAAAACTGCGAATGGTGGGGTGACGGCCGAGAGAAAGGTGACCCTCAGGGGCCAGGATGGTGGAAAGCGCAGCCACCTGATGATGAAGAGTGTTAGGCGCCAAGCCCTTGTCAAGGCCATCTTGCAGAAAGTCCAGAATGACAGGAATCAAAGCTGAAGCACCTCTGGAAGAACACCAGGCAACAAAAGCCCTCCAGGTGGTGTCGTAAATCTGAGTCATGGAAGGATGACGTGACACCTGAATGATGCTGATCACCTTGGTGGAAAGGTTGTCCCTGCTCAAGAGATCCCTCTCAAGTGCCAAATGGCTAGTTGCAGCTACTGGGGCTCTGGATGAAGAAGGGCCCCCTGGCAGAGATAAATCTTGTGTGGAGGAATCCGCCATGGGTCTCAGATGGACAGACTCACCAGTTCGGCAAACCAGGTCCTCCTGGGCCAAAACGGGGCTACCAGAAGGATCTCTGCTGCCTCCGCCAGGATCTTTCTGATGACTCCGGGAAGAAGAGGCAACGGGGGAAAGGAGTAGAGCAGCTCCTTCAGCCAAGGACAGTGAAAAGTGTTTACCCCCTCGGCCCTTGGATCATGGAACCAGGTGAAGAACCTGGGGAAATGAGAGTTGGCTGCTGTTGTGAACAGATCCACCTGGGGCAACCGAACCTCTGAACTATGCGGTGGAATAGCTGTGGGTGCAGGCACCACTCCGAGTGATCGACAGTTGCCCTGCTCAGCCAGTCTGTCTGGATGTTCACCGTGCCGGAAATGTGCTCCACCTGTATGGACAGCAGATGGAGCTCTGCCCACTGACCTAGGTCATCAGCTTCTGACATCAAGAACCTGGACCGCGTGTCTCCCTGGTGGTTGATGTGCACCTTCATCGTGACGTTGTCTGTCAGCACCCTCACGTGATGACCCTGAATGCTTGTCTGAAATCGAAGCAGGGCCAACTGGACCACCCTCAGCTCCAACCAGTTGATGCTGTGTGATGCCTCGGCCGAGGACCACCTGCCCTGAGCTATCTGGTTGCGGAAGTGAGCCCCCCAACTGTACAGGCTGGCATCTGTCGTGATGGTGAGCCGGGTCGGCTCCTTGAACGGAGACCCCTTCTTCAGGGCAGGAGACAACCACCATCTGAGCGAGCGACGCACCTCACAGAGACCAGAATGAGCCTCGGTGAGCTACTCTCGTTGGCCCTTTGATAGGGCAGCAGGAGCCACTGGGGGGGACGAGAGTGAAGACGTGCCCATGGAACGATGGATAGGCACGATATCATCTTGCCCAGGTCCTGTGATAGCAGAACGATCTTGGCACGAGGAGACCATCGTACCTCCATGGCCATCTCCCTTAGGCTCTCCGCCCTCTCTGGTGACAGGAAGATCTGGCAGGCGATGGTGTCGATGACGACCCCTAGATGCTGAAGCCTGATCGTTGGGTGAAGATGGCTCTTTTCCAAGTTGATGGAGAAGCTGTGACTCCGGANAACCATGACGGTTATAACCTGGTTACTTTTTTTTTTTGCAATTCCGGTTTTCAACAAAAACAATTGCAGTCATGTGACTGCGGGACGAAACACATGGCAATAAATGTGGCCTAGTTGCCTGGTACCTGAAATGCGGTCACAGGGCTAGGGAATGGATCCAGTTGGTCCGTGTGAGGGGTGAAGGAAGGCTGGCTGCACAGGCAGAAAACAGCAGAGAGGTGAAGAGGTGGGCATAAGTTCCTCCCTCTTATGGCTTCAGTTTATTCACCTTCCCAGCTGTGGGGAGCATTGCTTTCCACAAAAAGGGAAGCACATACAGGTAGTCCTTGACTTATGACCAGACGCTTAGTGGCCATTCAAAGCTACAAGAGTCCCCCCCCCCCCCCCCAAGGTACTTACCATCCATTTCCAACAGCCCTGTGACCGCATTTCAGGTACCAGGCAACTAGGCCACATTTATTGCCATGTGTTTCGTCCCGCAGTCACATGACTGCAATTGTTTTTGTTGAAAACCGGAATTGCAAAAAAAAAAAAAGTAACCAGGTTATAACCGTCATGGTTTGCAAATGGTAATGAGCAGGCCCCTATTAGAGTCGTAAGTTGAGGACTACCGGTATTCAAATGCTTTAAGTATCACTGATGCTGGGTCCCAAGGGTGGGTTCCTGCTGGCATTACCACCAGTTCGGCACCCAAAAATTTTTGCGTGCATGAGTGAAGCAAGCACCCACGCCAGACGCGCACTAAAAAGGTCTGCACATGTGCACATTAAAAGAGGGGGAAAATTACATTTTTTCAATGAAGATTGTTCTGTGCACGTGCAGAACAGAAAATCAAGATGGCTGCCCTGGAGAGAGAACCTGTTTGGGTGCATGTTCAGCTGAACTGGTGAGAACCCACCTGTCAGGTCCCAAATACTCAGGCCTTTGGCCTGCCTGTTTCTGCAAACCGCTTCTGGCTTATTTCTGGATTTGACCTTGTGTGGCTAACAAAATTATTTTCTTAGTACGGTTTGTGCAAACATTTTAGAAGAAACAAAATCCTTTTCTGTCTTTTGCCCAGAAACCAAATCAAGTTTTAATTTCTGGAGCACCACTGATCGTTGACAGCCGGGGATGCCCAGGTCTGGCAACCAGTTTTACAGAAGCAGCCAAGAAAAGGGAGCACTGTATTTCGAGGCAATCACAACAATGTGGCAGGACAGGACAGGCCTAACTGGTCTGCTCCTCCGAGGGAGCCCTTCTTCCCCAGCCCCCATCCGAACTCAAGGGAAGCAGCAGAAGAGAAGCAGCGAGGCCTCCCCGTTCACCTGGACGGAAGGCTGTTGTGGCCGTTGGGGGGGAAGATCAGACTCGAGGGGGGTTGGGGAAAGGTCTCGTTCTGCCGGATTTGACAAGAAGCAGCTTTGGTCACCTTCACCAGTCAGTGAACAGAAGCAACTCAGACCGATCTTGAGGGCGTTGGGAGAGAAGGGATCCCAAGGCCCTGTCACAGCTGGAAAGGCGTTTCTTCTCCAGGGGACAGAAGTCCGGAGGCCCAACCAGTTCCTGATTTCTTGGGTCAAGTGCAGGTGCAAAAAGATCACGGATGGAAGCACAGAGGAAGAAGAGAGATGGGCAGGAGATGGGGGGCGTGGGGGGGACAGGAGAGGGGCAGGCTGGGGCTCTAGCGGATGATGCCCCCTTTCAGAGATTTGCACGTCAGGTTCCCCAGAGTAGTCATAAGGTTCTTCCCCTTCCACTGGGCCACAAAGTTCTCAGAAATCTGGAGGTCGGCCTGGGGAGAAAGAGAGAAGCTTCATCATCAAAGGCTGGCTGTTCCGAAGTACGTTTGCTTAAAAGGTCCAGGGCTGCCAGGGGTTCTTCTACCTGGGTCGCCCCAAAGATGCTTTTTATCAGGTGGCAACTGGACTTCCTTGTTTTGTCTTTTGAAGACATTTTGCTTCTCATCCAAGAAGCTTCTTCAGTTCTGACAACACAGTGGGGAATGGAAGGATTTATATTACCCCCAAGTGCATCAACGACACTCTAAAAGGATGCAAATGACCAGCTGTCTGCAAGGAATATAATCTCTACAGACTTCTTTCTACCTGAGTCTTTTACTAAGTCAGTGGGCTCCGGAATAAAAAATCCAGCACAACAACAGAAATCCCTAGGCAACACACACACAAGCACCCACAGGCTAGTGCTCACTGCGCTCCTCTCCACTCTTTCCCATTGCTACTCCTCCTCCTCCTGCCGGAGAAGAGTCTCCTTCTATCTTCTTTAGGCTGCTTATTTTCAGAGAGGAAGACTCCCCACCACAGCTGGCTGCCTCTGCTCAGCTTTTGTAGCCACTGGATGCTGTGCTGGGGAGGGAGAGGCCTAAAAAGGGCCAGCAACAGCAGCACAAGGGCCGGCCATCGTGTAGGCAGCCTGTCCTGGCAAAAACACCAAGTTGCAACCTGTGGGTGGTGTATCGTTTGGTTAGGATGGGAGGATTAAGCTCAAAATCCCCCTCGGCCCTTGAAGCCCATGGAGTGATGGAGGCAAGTGGGCTTGTCTTGGCCCAACTTTTGGGGAAAATCGATTGCAGAAATGCGCCAAAGAATTCCAGGAGATCTTGGGGAAGGCGGGAAAAGAGCCATTTAAGGAGGGGCCTAGAGAAGTGACTGCGGTCCAGAGATTTAAGCAGCTGTGAGAAAGAAACTCAAAATAACTTTCTTTAGTGTCTGTCTGACCTTCCAAATATTCATCGAGACTTAAATTGTTTCCCGCTTGTTGCCTTGGTGGTGGAGGAGGCATAACTTCACCAAGGTCATCTTCCTTCTCTTCTACAATTCCATTAAAGCTGCATATTGATGGCAGCTGCTGGAAGGACTCCAGAGGCCACATTAAGCCGGAGAGGCCTTCTAAGCTGCTGTGATGCATGCAGCTATTCTCCTAAATTTCCTTAAGTAAAGAATCAGCAAAGCACCTAGCATGGAGTGAATATATATATAATCACATAATCCTAGGACTAGAAGGGATTTTGGAGGTCTTCAAGTTGAGACCTCTGCCCAAGGCAGGACACCTTATTCTATTTCAGACAAATGAACAGTCCAATCTTTTCTTGAAGACCTCCAGCAATGGAGCACCCACCACTCCAGGAAGCAAGTTTTCCCACTGATTAATTGTTCTCAGAGCAGGAAATTTCTCCTGAGTTCCAGGTTGGATCTCCCTCTGACCAGCTTCCACCCATGGCTTCCTGTCCTGCCTTCAGGTGCCTTGGAGAATAAGTTGATCTCTTCGTGACTGTCCTCAAGAACTGGAAGACCCTTATCATGTCGCCCTTAGTCTTTCTCCATGTTGGGCTAGATACATCTAGTTCCCTTAACCGTTTATTGTGTAACTTAGCTTCCAGCCCCATCATCATCTTTGTTGCTCTTCTCTGCACACTTTCCAGGGTGTCAACATCTTTGTTATATTGTGGGGACCAAACCTGGATGCAATATTCCAACTGTAGTCTTACAAGTGCAGTATAAACCCTAACACTTCAGCTGATCTTGATTCTGTCTCTCTGTTGATGCATCCTAGGACTGTGTTGGCTTTTTTAGCAGCTGCACACCTGGGCAAGGTGGGTCATTTGAGTTGCTGAGCCCCAAGTTGGATGCTGCTTAGGACTCTGGCCATACCTGCAGCAAGACGGAGCTTCTCCACTTACCTGCAACTTCTCAAATACTTTCTTCTTGGGCTTCAGCTCATCGTCCGGTTGGCCATTCTCAAAGCCTTCTACAAACACTCGTTGTCCAGGACAGGAGCCGGCTGGGGGGTCCAAGGGTTCCACTTGGCAGGGATCTCCAGAACTGAGGTGGTGATGGAGAAAGAAGGCATCCATGGGAGAACATGAGCAAGAGGCTTCTGGGAAGAGGCGCCACCTACGCCCCAGCTCTTCCACCTGGCCCCCCGTCTTCCTTTGCCCACCTGAAAGCGCAGAGCAGCATGGCCTGGGACTCAACTCCCCGCATCTTCTGGGGCTTCATATTGCACACCAGCACCACCAGCCTGTCCTGCAGCTCTTCCTTGGGCACAAATGCCACCAGACCACTAACCACTGTACGAGGTTCAGCCTCCCCCAGGTCAATCTTCTCCACGTACAGAGCATCGGCATCGGGATGCTGTAGGCATCAGACAGGAGCATCAGGGACCAGCCGAGGGGGTTTAAACAAGGGCTCCCAGTGGGACAGACGTAACTCTAACAGCACCCATAAAGGGGGGCACCAAAAGCACCTTACCTTTTCCACACTGAGCACTTTGCCAACCCGGAGATCCACTCGGGATGGGACGACTTCCTCAGAGTCAGAGTTCTTTGTGGAGCCTTTCACGGCAGATTCTGCAAGTAAATAGCAGGCAGGAGAAAGTGGAGGTGAGGCTTTACTAAGGCTTTATAAAGTGGTTCTAATACTTCACGTGATTTTGGTTCTATGACACTGCTTATTCAGCCAAGGATTGCATTAGCTTTTTTGGCTTTTGCCATACACTGCTGGCTCCTGCTTAAGGGATCATCCACTAGGGTCCCTCTCACAGTGACTGCTTTTGAGCCAGGTTTCGTCTAATCTGTACTTGTACCTGTTTTTCCTGCCTAGGTGTAAAATCTTGCTTTTCTCCACATTAAATTTCATTTTGTTGGATAGGGCTCATTGTTCAAGTCTGTCAAGATCATTTTGGATCCTGAGTTGGTCTTTTGGGGTGTTGGCTATTCCTGCCAGCTTAGTGTCATCTGCTAATTTGACGAGTTCCCCTATTCCCTCATCTAAGTCATTTATGAAGATATTGAAGAATACTGGGCCCAAAACAAAACCTTGTGGTACCTCACTGCTTACTTGTCTCCATTAAGAACTACTCCATTAAGAACTACTCCTTGAGTGAAGGAGGAGCCAACGTCGCGACAACCAACATGAGGTCTCGACTGTCCGAGACCGCCATTGACACTTTTGCCACTGGACGGTCCAGCAGGACCTAAACCGTCCCAAGAGAGACAGTGATTAGGAGGACAAAGCCTTGCTGGTCTCAGGGACACCGCAAAGTCCCTGATTGACCCAAGGGAAGCGCTTCAAGCCGGTGGCAAACAGGCAGCTCCCA